GTTTCTTTAAACTTGAAAGAATTCTACAACTTTGTAAGTTATTTTTAATCAGGACAAACATAGAAAGTACAAGTTTAGAAGATTCAAAAATTTATTAAGACACTTCCAGAACAGCACGGAAAACTGCACCGCTGAACAGTGAACTCAGGGCATTTCATACCACTTCCAAAATTTGTAGATTCTTTAGGAATCATCAAGAAATAACAAGCTCGGAACAATATTCAAAACCTTATTTGATCGTGATATTGTAGATCAACATCGAGCAAAAAGTGATGTTATTGCATTGAAGCAATTATTACAACATCCTGGAATATTCGGAAATGATGTAATTAATTCTGTGAAACGGTACTTGTCGGAGATCACAATCAAAGCCAGAGACTGCATTGTATTCGATGCCACTGGTGGAACGACTTGGCGTTGTAACTTGCAACAAACGTATGGTGAAAATTATGATAGTGATCAGTAGTAATCATGAACAAAAGGTTTTCAAACATACTAGTTGCAATGAGTTCTCTAAATATCGTCCATATTGTATAGAAATCGGTCAAGGATGGATTTCATTTCTTGAATAGTCAATAAAACCTCATTTGCAACGACATTTAATTTGCTCGAAAACAACCTGAAAATATTGATCTTATTTGATACAGCTCAATCTTTTGTGCAGATAAGATCATTGAAGTCAAGCCATGGTGTTACGAAGGCGAAGAAAAAATGAAGTCACACATAAAAGGAGCATTTTGGAAGCCCTCTTCATCCTATGAAGCCTCTTCTTCCGAAAATATTTCAAGCTATACCCTATCTTCATCGTTATCATCATCATCGGAATATAGAGATGCAACTATTAGGAGTGCAAGTGGAGAGGATGACCAACTTGTTGGAGAATTTATTTATAACCCTTTTCGGAAATTATCAATGAATGAACAACGTAAACGATTACCAATATATTCCTATCGGAATTGTATACTGTATCTCGTTGAAAAATATAATGTGGTGATTGTGAGTGGAGAAACTGCAAGCGGAAAGACAACACAAATCCCCCAATATTTATTTGAAGCGGGTTGGTGTTCGAATAATCAATCTATTGTTTGCACTCAACCAAGAAGAATTTCAGCCATAGCAGCTGCTAAGAGAGTATATGAAGAAAAAAAAGCCTCTTTTTTTGAGAGTTCTGGAGCTTCCTCTTCTAGCAGCATTGGAATTTCAACTAGAAGCGGTGTCATTACTCGTGAAAATTCGTATTTGGAGCTCGGAGGACTGGTTGGATATTGTGTCCAATTTGATGCAAAGTATTCTAATTTCTCACGAATTAAATTCATGACTGATGGCATGTTGCTTCGTGAAATGATGGTCGATCCTTTGCTTAGCGATTATTCTGTGATCATGATTGATGAGGCTCATGAGAGGAGTGTCAAAACTGACTTATTGATGGGACTAATGAAGAAAGTTTTACAAAAACGACCTGAATTACGGCTTATCATTTCAAGTGCCACTTTGGATGCCGAGGATTTCTTTCAATTTTTCAACGTACCACAACTCAATTTATCTTGTTACATTGTTAGCATTGAAGGAAGGAATTTTCCTGTTGATGTATATCATGTACAGAAGCCTGTTTCAAATTATATTACTTCAAGTTTACAGTGCATATTGAATATCCATCGCAGTGAACCTGTAAATTCTGGCGACATTTTAGTTTTTCTCACAGGTCAACAAGAAATAGAGGAGCTTATTTCACTGCTTGAAGAAGAAATAGAGAGAGATGTGGAAAGTGGAGTCATGAAATCTCTGCACCCTTTACCTCTCTATGCTGGTCTCTCTATGGATGAGCAAATGAAAATATTTGATGTATCACTATCACAGGGACCAAACGCCATTCGAAAAGTAATCGTTTCAACCAATATTGCTGAAACATCCATTACAATACCTTCCATTCGATTTGTGGTTGATTGTGGATTTGTGAAAGAGAGAGTTTATGACTATAGAGCCAATCGAGATTGTCTTGTAGTGACAGAAATCAGCAAGGCGGCTGCAGAACAGAGAGCCGGTCGAGCTGGCCGTGTAAGCCAAGGCAAATGTTTCAGATTATACACAGAGGAAGATTTTTCTAATCTCAAAGAAAATACCATTCCAGAAATTCAAAAATGCAACCTCACGGAATGCCTTTTGCAAATGAAAGCAATGGGCATTGATAATTTGGTCTTGTTCGATTTTTTGTCGCCGCCTCCTTCACAGAACATGGCCAAATCTTTGGAGACGCTTTATGCTTTGGGAGCGATTGACGATGATGGCAAATTAACTCATCCTCTTGGCAAACAAATGGCAGAATTTCCAACAGATCCATTCATTTCCAAGATATTAATCCAATCGGGCTACATGAATTGCTCCTATGAAATTTTAATTATTTGTGCCATGCTGAGTGTGAAAAATGTATTCGTCACTTCGCGCAGTATTCAGGATCGCATTGAGAATGCCAAAAAAAAATTCTCAGTCATGGAAGGAGATCACCTTACAAATCTCAATATCTATCTGGCCTATCTCAACAACAAGAAATCGAGTAACTGGTGTTACGATAATTTTATTAATTACAAGGCCATGCAAAGAGCAGAACAGTTTTACCATCAATATGAAAAATTCCTTAAAAAGTTTCACATTCCAGTGCAGTCGATTATGGACTCTCCACACGATTATCCCAGTGACATTATTCGAAAGTGTCTAATTACTGGCTATTTCTCCAATGCAGCACACAGGCAGCATGACGGATCGTATAGATCCATTAAGGGTAATCAAATTTTACACATTCATCCCAACTCTGTTCTCTTCAAATATCCACCCGAGTATGTTCTATTTACTGAGCTCTTATTCACTACAAAAGTGTTTATGAGAGATGTTTCGACCATTCGACCAGAGTGGCTTGTTGAAATGTGTCCTCAACTCTATGAAAGATCTGTGGATAGAAAAGCGAGAGAGATTGAAGCCAGACTAGAAGTTGTTGCCAACACTGCTGAGGAGGAATAGAAAGGATTTTGTCACACATCCATATTTCTAGCAATGATATTCTTCACATCTCACGATCTGTCAGTCGTTGTCAATTTACTACCTGCACTAAGAAAGGGTAATAGAATGGGAAAAATTGAGCTTAGATAAGGTGTTAAATCCAAGAGATATGACGTCCATTCCTCACTTGAAGTGAACAGTTGCGATGGTCCAACCTGAGAAATTCAAACAAAACCATTATTCCAAACATAATATTTTTTCCAACCTACTTCCAAGTTTGGAGTTGAGTCGAAAATGGCCTGACAGTCGTAATGGGCCAAAACAAAACAGTTCTTTTCACAAGTTTACCACTGGTATTGATGAAACTGTTCAACAACAACAAAATGCAATCACACAACTCCTATCGATTCATCGTTCTTGCTTCTACTCTGCTGATCCTTCAGGCACTATTCTTTCAGAGTTTCATCTTTCAAATTACCAAAGTGGAAGGAGTTCTTTTGAAATTAGATTTCAAGAAGAACAAACGAGTTTGCTTCCAAGAACATTTGTATGAGAGCACTCCAGTGAAAATAATTCTGAAATTTCCTACAGATGCACCCAAATCATCACCGACCGATGTACAACAGGGAGGAGACATTCGAGATGTACAAATTCGACTATTTGGAACAGATCCAGAAAAGAACGTATACTTGGATGCCCATTACTTTTTACAGAGCTTACCAACCATCATTCAAAACGAAAAAGCATTCAAGATCATTTCACATAGTTTCAAAAGTTCTTCATCTTTATTTGGAAATTATAAAATTTGTATTGAGCAAGTATCCAATTTGAAAGATGTTGAAGCGGATGTTCATATCGATGTTGGAAAATCAGCTGAAGTAGAATTTGAGGAATTAGAGTCTGTTAAGCATGTTAAAAGTATGTTGAACATTCATGATTTAACATTATTCTCCAAACCTGACACTTTTTGGACACATGCATTGTCCACCTAAATTTGATCAATCAATGCACTAGAAATTGAAACTCTCTTGAAAAATCTGGGAAATCAAATCAACACAATTACAACGGAACAGAAATATTTCAAACACCGCGAAGAGAGATTTCGAGAAACCACAGACTCCACCTACGAAAGGTTATGGATCGTTGCAGTTTTACAATTCATCATTCTTGTCATGAGTGCATGGTGGCAACTCTCAAGTCTCAAAACTTTTTTCAAAAAACAGAAATTGATTTGATCTGCGTCAAGATGATGCGTCAAGTTCACACGTCACTTTCGTGTGAATGAATTAAAATTTTCTTTTGTGAACGATTTAACTCTAATTCTTGAAAGCAGTGTAAAATATGTTCGAATTATTGAACACAAAAATGCTCAACAAGCTCCACCTCGGATCCGACACAAATTCCGATGTTGCAAAAGAAATGATGAATTTCTTATAATTTTTTTTTTCAAATTCAAAAAAATGGCCAATCCGCCAAATCGGTTGTTTCCTCCTTCAACACCACCTCACCTCCGAGGAGGCTCCTCCTCACAGCAGCAGACAACACAACAGGCTTCATCATCTTCACCTGCAAGGTCCGTAGGCTCTTCAGCAACAATCGGAGCTCATGGATCATCAACAAATTCATCAGTAGATCCTCCACAGCATATTCCAAATGTAACTCCACAACGACCCTATGGTCTTAACTCACCTTCCGTCAATAGTAAGAAAGGTGTTCCTAATGCTGTGTTGAATTTAGTCACTTCAATATCAAATAGATTTGTGAATGAGATGGAGGAAGAGAATGATGATTTTTTCAATAACACACAAAAACAAATTAATGCTCTAAATGCCTTGTCGGCTTTTATTGAATATTATGAGGATTTGTATCAAGATAACACTGCTCATCCCCTTCTCGACTTGAGAGAAGACTTTAGTGTAGGAGCAGTACTGGAATGTGTTGCAGAGGATTTTGTTGATGAAATTACTCAACAATATTTAATGAAATACATCATGAGTCAGAGGGACAATAATTCGAACAACACAGAATTAAGTACACCTGAAAAGAGACAATTATTAGTGTCAATTTTGAGAGCTTTGGTGTCAGTGAACCCTTCCACATATGATCAGTCCCCATTATTATTGGATGAAGTAATGACATACTTCTCGAAAGAAATTAAGGAGTATTTAGGCAAAGATGAAAAAACAAACTCTTCATCAGACTTATTTGATTTTGAATTCAATTATTCTAAATATGTATATTGTCTAGGACTGATGGCATGTGTCATGAGAAGCTCAACAGATGGCACTTCCTATTATATTCAAGATGCGATTCCCCAACTTGTAATTAACAGATTTAAATCAAAGATTTCTTCTATACCTAAAAAACCAAAGAAGAAATCTCCAGATACTAACTTATTTACTCCAGATTTTTCTTATAACATTGGAAATAATTCAATACAAGAATTGGAATACCTAGAACTCAGGTTTTTGGCCTCAAATTTAAGTTTATTGGGCGAGTATTTAGAGGTCATACCTCATGTCATGCATGCTGGTGGAGGCTCTTTAATTCTGCCTCTGCTCAAGTCGAAAGACAAATTCCTCATGTCAGACGGCTTGAAAATTGCTGACTCCTTGCTTGCACATACCACCTTTGCTCAAAATTTTGTTGAAAAAGGATGTCTTGTAGCATTATTGAAACTTCCAAATATCACCTATTTGGCAGGAGGTCTATCTTTATGTCTCTCCAGTGTTGCTACATATCCAGAAATTATGGACAAGGTATGCAAAAATACAGCCGTTGCAGAAAAAATAACGGATCTGGGTCTCTCTTTTGTGAGATCTAATCATACAGAGCTGAGAAGGCATGGATGCCACTTTTTTCAAAATACATTGGCTTACTCAACCGTTGTGGCTCGATTTGATAAGGAAATGGGGTTGAATATGTTATTATGTAAGTAGTGGTGACTGTTTTTAACTACAACAGTAGATTCGTTTGCTTAATTTGCCAATTTTAAATGAAATATTTAGCTATTCTCAAGATTGTTCTTAATGAAGACATCAAAGAAGATCCCTCACTAACGAGACAGCTTATTACTGCTGCCTGTCAGGCTTTGAGATCCTATCTCCAATATCATGTCATTAATTTTGGATTCAATTTGCAAAAGAAAGCCGCAAAGAAAAAAGAAGCTAAAATACATGGATTTTCAAAATAAGAAATTCACAAATAGAGTCGCATTGGAGCCATTCAAAAAGAACATTTCCGCTCTAATGAAAGCATTTCAAGAACAGATATTTAATCCTGTTGTGAAAATTGTAAATAGTGATGGTCTATCTCCAATACTAGAAATATTTAACAAGAGTAATTACGTTTGGATGGATGATACACTTTCTTTCACAGTGTTAGAGATTTTGGAATTAATTTCTCTCTCTCCAGTTTCACACATCCCAATTGCAGAGACTGAAGTATTAAGCGGTAGATCTGGGCTTTCTTTACTGTTGGGCAGCTCTACTGTAGAGAATGAACCTCAAATTGTAGAGGCTGCTCTTCGAACGATTCATAACATGTTCTTCTCACATTCTAAAATAGTATCAGCCCTGTTACCGATAAGAAAAACCCTATTCGAATTATTCCGTAAAAACGATGGTATTCGAGTACTGCTTGACGATTTACAAAATTATGATGATCCTAGTAATATGAACCAAGTACGAAAACTTTGTTGCGGTATTTTGATAGGTCTTTCAGATGAGCCCTCAATCAATCAAATTCTCTTCAAAGTAGAACTGGGTCAATTATTGACCGACATTATGAAAGACAAGCAGCAAAATGAAGAACAGTCGGAATCATTTAATGAGTTGAAGGAGGTGGTATTGAAGCTACTAGAAAAAGTCACCGGAAGAGAATCCAAAACAGTTATTAGAGAAGCAAAAGATCACACTCTGGTTCGGTTGGAAAAGGCCAGTATTGTCGCCAACACATATATCACATACAAACAGGACGAACTCTTACAAATCATTCATGAATATTTGAAAGATAAGGGTCTTTCTAAAACAGCCGAGTCCCTACTTGCGGAAGCAAAAATCACTCCTAAAAACACAATTGTGTCTCCTTTCATTCCCAAACCAAAACCTGTACTCGATAGAATCGTTGTAAATTATTTAAGGCAGCAACATAGAGAGTGTGAGGACCCAATTTCAGTATTGCCTGAATTTTCACTCTTCCACAAACATTCTTGCCCAAAACCTGGCAACTCTTTGAAGAGCGCCAAGTGCATTACAAAACGATTGAACATGTCAAGAATTTGTCGAGAGCCTCAATATCTAGGATTTGATTTTCATAAGAAAAATCGAAAACATATTTACTCACGCCTATCGTATTCACGTCCATTAATCACCCAGTCGGATCACATCACTTCAGTTTCATTTGGTCCAGATAGTTCCAGTCTTTATTTCACAGGTGAAGAGGGTGACATTTATGTTTGTGACATAAAAAGTGGAGATGTAGATTCACACAAAATTGTGGAATATGGACCAGTTCGGGGAATTCAATTCTCAACGGATCGCCTGATTGAGCCGAAAATGTTGGCTTGGGGAGAAAATTGCAGTTACCTTTACAGTGTTTCAAATTTAACGAAACCAATTTTTGAGTTTAATGATTGCTTTGCCTCCATGTTCAGCAATGGAAATGATTTGGTAGTGACTTCAAGTTTTAACACAACACGAATCTATAACTTGGCACTACAAGAGAAAATAGCTGAACTGACAGACGCAACTGAAGAGAACAATACGGTTGCTTGCTTTAGCCCCTACGATGATTTGATTCTCACCAATGCAAGTCTTTGGGACTTTCGAATGTCTCCTAAGGCTGTTCACCGATTCGATCGTCTTTCTCAGGTCTATGTGAATGTTTTCAATCCCAACGGTTTGGAAGTGATCATTAATAGTGAAATTTGGGACTTGCGTATGTTGAAACTTCTCTCAACTTGCGCTCCTCTCCGTGATGCTAAATATGTGAAATTTAGTAGCGATAAGGAAGCCATGTTTGTGGGATACAATGATTACTCTTCAGGAAACATTCATGATATCAATTCAAACACATTCAAGATTGTCGATTCATCGTCGTATCAGCTTCTTGCTTCCCACACATTCGATAAGAACAGTACCATTGTGGATTTTGCCATTGATCCTGTGTACAACCAATTCGGACTGGTGACGAGCAATGATACGAAAAACCTTAATCATTTGAAACTTTATGAATTTGGAAAATCAAGACGAGATGCCTCCTATGACGAGGATGAAGAAGAATTTATGGATGAAGAAGAGGGCGAAGAGCACGAAGGAGAGGAAGATCAAGACGATTTATTTGACCATCCTTTATTCCATGACGATGACTACATGTCAGACGATGACGAAAGTATTATCATTTTGGATGCTGAAGATGATATTGTTATTGACGATTTTGACGAGGAAATGGATGATTTAGAAGATGAGGAGGACGATGAGGAAGATGAAGACGATGATGATGTTAGTGAACACTTGATTATTGAACTAGATGATGAGAGTGATGATGAATAACAAACTCAACGAATTCAATTCTTTAAATGGATTTATCGCCTCCATGTGTACAGTTGTCACACTTGCAAGTGACATTAAGGACTCTTTGATTCAATCAAAACACAACAGCAAGAATGACTTTTCAAACCCAGTACAAAATCCCAAAACAGACTGTTGTGACTGCCAAGGACATTTTAAGCAACACCTCTTTTATGTACATGACATTAACACCCACCATCGATTTCTATAAATGAATTGAACATGAAGATCCAAATATTTTCAGTAAAAAATTGTAAAAAATGAATAGTGAACAATTGCATCATTGTTGTCGTTATGTTGAAGGCTCTGCTCACTCCTCATCCAAACACCACAAAAGGCTGATCAGCAAATGGCCATCGTTTCTTTCATCTCTATTGATTATTGCAACACTCTTGATTTTCTTGAGCTTGTTCCGATTTCCTTCCGATCTGAATCATGATGAATTGGATCATCATCGGATCCATGAATTTAATGTCGTACGAGCTCAAGCCATACCTGGCAGTGGTGCCAATCCAATGATGGATCAAATGCCAAATGTGATGATGGATCCCAATCAACAGTACCATGTACAGGAGGTAAAATTATCCTTTTCCGTGCAAGACTTGATTGTAAATAAGAAAATTTTGGATCTTAATTTATTGTATAATATTGGACTTCCTCAACCTCCAGGAACAGTGACTGTGGGTACACCTGATAAGAACATTCAAACATCTATGATTAATTTTCTTCAGTTTTTGAATCACATGCATCGAACGGATTTGTTCCATCCCTTAACGGACTCTGAGAAATTTAATGGTAAATTCAAGGCCCTCGCTCAAAACATTATTGGCTATGTGTTGACACCTGGGAACAGCGTTGAAGATGGTATTGCGAGTGACAATGAAAGATCTCCAATTTTGAAACTTTTCAAACTTTCCCAACAAGAGCTTGATCGTATGGACTTATTGATGAATAAGACCCAGGAACAGGTATCAACACTAAGTGAAACGTTTTTGGCTCAATATGTGACACGAATGGAGCCTGTAGAATTTGAAGAAGAGGAAGAACAACAAGTGACAGTAACCTCTCACGTTAAAGCTGAGATTGAAAAATTGAAAAATTTCCTCATTCAAATAGCTCGAATCTACAAGACCCAACGAATTAATATGAGACGAATGGGTCTTGTCAAAGGTCCCAATAATGAACCTGCTCCAAACCGTGCCTTGAAATATATTGTTATTGGTTCTGGACCTGTTGGACTTTTGAGTACCATTGAAGCCTCTTTAATCCTTCCAAAAGTATATGTTATTGAGAAGAGAACTGATTTCTCTAGAGATGTCTGGTTTGATTTGTATCCAAAACCATTCAGCCAATCGGTTGAACTCCTCGAAGAATTAGGTTTTCCAAATGAGTTTCCAAACTTGGAAGCGAAATTGAATACTGTTGCAGATACGGACGGCAAGGAACGAACAACATATACCATCCGTTGTCAAATGACACAACGATTCCTTACCAAAGTGACGTTCCTTCTTGACAATGTGCAACACATATTTGGTTACCAATATATCAATCAATGCAAAACGAAACCAGGATCGAATGGCAAAAGTAGCAAATCATGGACATCAAGATGGAGTGACTTTAAGATTGAGCCCAATGCAGAATATGCTGTTGTGAATTTCCTCAAGACTAACAATAAGGATTGTTCTTCTACTCTCGATTTCATGTCCGTATCTGAGCAATTGGATCTATGCTCAAACATTGACACTGACTCATTTACCACTAAAAATGGAAAGGTGTGTGAACTAGAGAAAATTCCATTTGAAATTCTTATCGGAAGTGACGGATTGTACAGTACGGTGAGAAGTTCTCTCAACATTAGTACTCACGATATTCATTCCTTTGACGTCTCGAATACTGTTTACGCAAGAGGTCTTCCAAAACCTGCCATTCCTAAAATTACTGTGAAACCAAAACTCGAACAAGTTGCCTTAATTATTAACTTTAAGAGAGTGGGTGATAGAGATTGTCCAGATACTGCTATTGATGAAGATACTGGAGATTTTATTGATCCATGGAAGCCCAGTTTATTGTTGCCAAATGTGTGTAGTGTGTTCAAGAGATTCTATGCTGGTCATTGCCACATGCAAATTTTGTTCGACAATGAGTATGGTCAGAAAGCCATTGAAAAGTACATGACAGCAAGAAGAAAAGCTCTCAGCAAGCTATTGGAAGAGAGTGGTCACAATCATGTGAATCTCAATGCAACTGATACCAACGATCAACAAAACGCGAACAACGGAGACAACAAGTTGCGAGATCTCATCTTGAATACTGAAGCTAAAGAAATCAGAAGTGCTGCTTTTGCTGATGCCTCTCGTGATTCATCCTATGTTAATTCCGGTGCATCTCAAGAGAAAGCTGTGTCGAATTGGGAAGAAGAGGCCTTTGATTGGGAGAAAATTCTCACCATTGTGAATACAGTTCTCGCCAACAAGTATGAAACAATTGGTGCCTTCAGAAAAGCCATTGTCAACACCGATACTTTTACTGGCGACAAACAATTACAAAAACAATTTGATATGGTTCTATTAAGGGTCGTGTTACAGAAGGCTGACAATTTAACAACCACCATTGCCTTAGATAATCCATCCTCTCCATTCGCTGTCAATATTTTGAAGGGTGATAGTGTGGCGAGTGCTCACTTCCGTCTCGGAGTTGGTGTGAATAATGCATTCCTTGCTTACGGTGAACTTACTGCCTTCATTCAACAACTCTATAGCAATAACTATGCGAGTGTGACAGCACCACCTTCTCGAGAAACTCTTCAGAAACAATTATCTCAAGTTCTTTCAGATTATGAAGCCAAAGCTCAATTCAGATGGAATCGTCTAATCAATTATATGGCAACGGCCATGTACTTTGAATCATTTTGTGATACAGTCGTCTTTATTGACCCTGGCGAATACTTTGGTGTTCAAACCATTCAAGAAAAAGATTACGACAATTTAGATTATATTCCATTCGATAACTTGTTGCAAGTTCGAAGATTCTGTCAAAATCATGACAAACTTTCTGTGTGGTGGAATTAACTTGACGTGTTCTATGTTATCTTTTTGTTGCAGTGGATTCCATCGCACTCGATAACAACTTGGAACATCTGTGATGATAATTAATTAATCAAAACAAACACATTTATTCCTTCTTTGACACCATATGATAAACATTGGGTGAATAATCAATAAACAAATAATCCTTTTGGTCACCTGGTCTCGCACAATGTCTTTGATGGAATTCTGTCGAATCATTTTTCACACGAGCATCCGAGAATGACTTTCCTTGTTGTGAGGCATAAGTAGTTCCAATCAACAAGGAACCAAAAGCAGCAGCGCAGAAAGTTGCTAATTGGAAACCTCCCTTTCGGATAAAGTAGGAAGAGGTGAGAGGATTCAATTTGTGTTGAGGTGCCATTTGTTTGAGAAGAGATGAGGAACTGAGTGTTTGTTGAGACTCTTTTTTTTGATTCTTTTCGTTTGGGTGATGCTTGGTGCCATCCATTAGTGACACCTGGCAGGTGTTGCTTTATTGGTAAAATTTTCACACTTTACAAAAGCATCCGTACGATTCTTGTGTTTAAAATTTACCATTTGTAATCAAGCGTTACAAATTTGGACATATTTTTACAGTTGACTTTTACAACTTGCATTTTGGTAGAACACATTTCGCAGATGCCACCTGTCATTCCACATCCTTCTCCACGAATAAAAATGTGTGTATCATCGGTGACAAAACACACCAAACTCAGTGTCGGCATTCATGACACACATCCCGAACATTAGAAAACCTCACAACGTCTTACAAGACGTTCTTTATTCCTCTTTTCAGGAAAATTATTTAAAAAAAATGAAGTCATCCACAAGAAGCATCAGGAGAATTGTGAAAATTCGTATTTTCGGAATGATGACTCTTCTTGTCATTCTTGTGTTGGTCATGACCTTACGAGAAGAATCTGTGGTTCGGGCACTTCATGAAAAAGAATCTTCTTCATTTTCTTTTCATTTATTACATACCGATGATTTACATTCACATATTGAAGGAAATGGACCTGATTCGAGTTTGACTGATGGAAGTGTTGAGAATGGAAATAATCAAGTGATTGGACATTATGCTCGATTGTTGACATTGATTAAAAAGATGAAAAGAACTTTTTCAAATGTTTTACTGTTAGGTAAATTTTATTAGTGATTCGTGACCAATTTTACAAATTGAAACTATGATATTTAATTATTAAATTTATTAACAAAATTAAATTTCAAAAAGATGGTGGTGATTGGTTGATGGGAACCATGTTTCACACATTATCCATGTCGAGCATATTTCCAGAATTAGCTCCTCCTGAATTGGAATTTTTTAGAATTGCCGAATATGATGCAATCATTATGGGTATGTTTCAAACTTTTTCAAATTTTCACTTTTAATTTCATAAATGTGTTTTGAAAGGCAATCACGAATTTGACGTTTTTCAAGAGGGTGTTCTATCAATCATTCGCCGAATGAACTCTCAAATGGAGTCACAATCCTATGCATTACCTATTATCTCATCCAATCTCATTACAAATTTGAAAGAGTTACAGAGCTCGAGTGGAAAGTATAATTTTGAAGAATGTGAACAATTTTGGAAAGATTTCATTCGAGATCCCTATCATATTCATCCTCTAAGGAATGGTACCAATCACCATCGAGGAACATTTTTCACACCCTACGTTACGAAAACATTTAAATCTTCTGAGAATGGACCTGAATTGACTGTTGGAGTTATTGGAACCATGGGTCCAGCTGCTGCCATGACAGCCATGACTGGTCGACAACCTTGTTTCCACTATTATGGATTTAATGAGACCACCAAGAAGGTCGACATTGATTTGTATGCGACACAAATTTATAATCTTGCTCTTGATTTGAAAGCTGGAAGAAATGGATCTCCAAAATGTCAGGTGGTTGTGGTATTGTCACACTCTGGTGAGCCAGAGGACAAGGAAGTCGCAGAACTCATTGTGAAGAAACACAAATCAGAATATTCAAAGAAAGGAAATGAATGGCTTCCTCGAGTTGCGGTGGATGTACACATTTCGTCACATTCTCATAATATTTACTTTGAAAAGCTTTCATTTACGAGCAGACAGAAAGGTGACAAACATGACATTCAACATCATGTGTACATTCATCAAGCGGGTCCATATGCATCTAATTTGGGAGTTTTACAATTTGATTATCATTTCGAAACGCAACAATTAATTTTGAAGAATGAGAAAATTAAGGTTCCCAAGTCAACTATAATTTCTGACAGTGTCACAAGAGAGGACTATGAAAGAGATCACTTGGGAGATGTCAATAATCCAATTTCTCTCTTTCATACCACAGGAATTTGTTTTGATTGCATTGATAATGAAAATGTGTTGCTTCCAATTCGAATTCCAATCACCAATGAAATTCCGATGGATCAAGGATATTTGGAAATTTTACAAAATTACAAACATCTCATTAACAAGTACATTCTTGGATCAGAGTTTCCATTTACATATGAATCATTGATTGGAAGTATTGACATTTCTAAAATTACTGAAAAGACACAATTTGGAGATATTGCAGCTGATTGCATTGTTCAAGAAATGCGTCACAATCAACAAAAGATCAAGCATGTCATTTCATACTTGAAAAAGCATGTGAAAAATTACAATCCAGATTGGACTCTCTCTCAATTGTTGACGCATTCCTCTCAACATTTTCCTAAATTAGTGGTGGACAATTATCACTATCGATTCAATCACTGGCGTCTCAGGGATATTGAAAATGTTGCAAATAATCGATTCGATGTTTATTTAATTCCAACCGATGGTTTTCGAACTCATATTGTTTCACTCAAACATTGGAACGAATCTCTCATTCCATTACAATTTTCTGACATTTACAACATGCTTCCTCTCGGAAGATTGAAACACAACATTCGTGAAGGAGTATTACCAGGTGAATCCATTGAAGTATTTTATTTACCATTTCGAAGTGCAAAACGATTATTGATCTATTCTCATGTGATTGGACAAGTCATGGGATTTCATTTCCTCTCCATGTGTCGAAGTACGAATTTATCTTACAAGACACGTTGGTATGGAATTCCATTATTAGTGGAAGACAAAATCGATGCAAAAGACGAACGAGAACTTTCATGGTTTTGGCGACTCTTTCGAAAAGTGAAAAATTCACTCGCTCGATATTATGATTTTCAAGTGGATGGTTTTCCAGAAAATGAATTCCGAGATCTATATTTTGCACACTCGTCGTCTTCTCTCGTGGTTGACGATGCCTTATTGGGAATGATGATTCCTGGTTGGATGGTTAATTTCATTTCAAAAACAGCAACTTTTACAGGTGGATTTTTATCGTTGGAGATGTGTGATCGATATGGAAGAGTTCTCGTCATTCCACAAACGAATACTGGAGTGCCTGATGTGAATGTGAAAGTAAATGACAAGATGGAGAGTAAGACCTTGTATCAGACCTCGGTGAGTGCGACACCATTTTTGGATTATCAACTGGTGGCAGAGTGTTTGGCCAAATTGCGAAATGGAAAACATTAAATGATGGCAACGTTCATTATAACATTCTAAAAGAACATTTTACAAGTAGTTTTATTATTTGACAAGTCGTTAAGGTGTGACACTTCTTCTTAATTGAGTGAGTGATGTCCCATGTCAGTTGCCAAACACCAGGTACCATCTTCATCACTCCATGAAGGTTCTTGTCCTGGACGCAAACACACCAAACCTGCATGAATGGCATGAATAAACACTGTATGACCACCCATCCTCACACCAAACAAGTCGACAAATTTCTTTGCAAAACTTCTTCCCTCATTTCGGTTGCAAGTGGAACAACTTCTAAACCACCACAAGGCATTTTGATGAAAGATCTTTCTTTTAGAAAGAGATACCCAAGAAGGAGTGTCTAATACTTCTGTTGTCAATTCATCTTGCCCAATAAAAACCTTTCCTGGTGAGCCGTGGCCCCAAAATTGAACTTCTCGAATCAATTCACCACTGTCTGCGATTTGATTCAATTCTCGAACGACTTGATCCCAACTCTTTGCTCGAATGACACGATCGAATTTATTCACAGCTTCAAAAAAGGAAGAACCCACAGCCCAAGAAATTGAAGCAAATTGATCTCGTGTGGATTCATGTTCATTGGTGGAATCATAAATTAAGACAGAGAGACCTTTTTTTGGGTTAAGAACTTGTTGAGCGGTACTTAGAAGAGGGTCCATTTGAATGGTATGATCCACCAACGTTTCCACGACATTTCGACCTGTCACAATGTCTTTTACAGTGTTGATAGGAGCTGTCACTTGAGGAAATGGGTTGAGACTTTCTCTGGCTGCTTGAAAGACGTTCTTACCAGAGGCAACGTCAACAATGAATTTGATACCGAAGACCATGCTGTTGATGATTGAGATGAAATGTAGGTGTTGTTGTGTTTTCTTTTGTTTTTATGGTTGTACTTGTGCCTTCAATAAAATGGTTATAAATAATTTTGTGGACCACCGTGAACGCATAAATCGTGAATTTTAAAATGAAAAGTCCAATCGTGACGGAGTCAACTACAATCAAATTTCAATAGATATTAGTGTTTGAAATCACCTTTGTACCAATTTTTGAAGGTATTTTCAAAATAATCTTTAGCTTAATTTCTCTTGAACAAAATTGTTAATTATTTTACTCGTTAGATGATGAGCTGAATATAGATTTGTAAACTTCTGGGTTGGCATTTGCAGGAACGACAAGACCAGATGAACTCGTATCCTCTTTTTGTTTTTTCTTTTGTTTTTCCTCTTTTGATGATGACGATTTTTGTTTTCGTTTCTTGTCATTGGAAGAAGATGCTTTAAGCGCTTCCATTAATTGATTTGCAACTTCAGGTTCCGGATTCAATCTCAGTACATCTGACTCTGAATGAAAAGGTTTTTCACATAGCATACAAAACCCATCCTTTTTGGCCAAATCCAAAGCTTCTCCGTTAATGACGTGTCCACATGATTTAATAATATACACTGGAAATTGTCCTCTTATTTCCTCCTTTGTTACAGGACAAATAAATCTTGCTGTTCCACTCCTCGTTACCGATGTTTTATCAATAGTTGTTTGATCATCGGAAGGCTCATCCACATAATTTGGATTCTTCTCCAATTTAGCCTCCAATAAATCACTCAATTTTGAAATGTGTCCAATCACGGCTTCATGTTTCTTCTTTTGTTTTTTATCCACCAAACATTCCAACAAACTCGTCTTGTTATACAAATAACCGATTTTATCGACCACAATAGGCTCGGAAAGATATTCCTTGGTTAACCGACATAAATTCCAAGCCGCATAATTTACAGATTCTTTATCAGGCTTCTTCTCTTCCTTCTTTGTTTTTACAATGAGATCTCTTCTCTGAACAATAGTTCCGCCATCACAGCCCATGATGGTTTGATTGTATTTTTTTTAAAAATTAAATTAAATTCATCATGTGATGGATTGAACCTGGTTGAACCATTTTATGGATCATCATAATACTTCCGAATCCGTATAATGCATGTCCAAGATGATTCAACAAGATAACTGAAGATAAAATACTTTAGAGGTGCTAAATGCTTTCTTTGATTTTTCTTCCTGTACAAAATCATCATCATATTCTTTTTTGAAATTGGTTTGATGAATTGAAGAGATTGTCAATCCTGCAGGAATATTCTCTCTGCCATCCATCTTATATAGGAGGAACTTTTTTGGGCCAGGTCACCCTGAAAGGAAACCTGAAGACATAACCTGTCAGGTAGGTACTAGAAGAAGTCCCCACTTCCACTTCAGACTTAGACGTTTATGATTTTAGCTAAAAAGAAAAACCAACAACTACTGACTGTCTCTCACCAAATGGCTTCATCGTCCACCAACAACACATCTATTTTGATCAATCAAATACAAGATGAAACCACAACCGACATTTCCATGGAAGACGTAAAACGACTTAAACATCAGAGATATCAATTGGA